ATAAAGTTTTTTGTTCATTTTTTAAATAAAGAATTTTTTAAAATAATAATATTTGTAAGGTGTAGAATACATTATTCTTCTGCCATACCATATTGGGATGTAATTCTGTAAGGCCCAGAGCTAGTTTCAATTTTATGAATGGAAGACAACGGATAAGAGGCATAAACGTGCCTCCGTAATTTTTATAACATGTGAACGATTTTATTTAAGTGCCGAAAATAGGAAGAAAACACAAGGATCAAAGAACGTTTATTCGTCCTATGTTTTTAACATTTAGGATAAACCAAATCCTTCATATACGAAGATAAAAATTGAAATTCTACAAAAAATACAAAAAAATCGCTGAAGCCACACTTAAGCCATGTTAAAACCTTCTTTGAACAAATATTCCAGAACCCCTATCTTACTAATCTTAATCAATAGAATTACACAGTACGATTTTTATTTTTGTGTGGCCTGGCATGGCCAGGTGGCTATGGCGCTTGGCTCGCAATCTGAGGGTCACGGGTTCGAATCATCGTTTCACCAAACATGCTCGCCCTTTCAGCCGTGGTGGCGTTATAATGTGACGGTCAATCGCACCTCGTTGGCAAAAGAGTAGCAGTGAGTGTTGATGACTAGCTGCCTTCACTCTATTCTTTCACTCCTAAATTAGGGATGGTTAGCGCAGATAGCCCTCGTGTAGCTTTGCGCGAAATTCAAAATAAACCAAATTTATTTTTGTGTTTCGTACTTTTATATCTTTCATAAATAATTATTGGCATCTGTGTTAAATATTTATTTCTTCACACATGCACTGTCGAGAATAACCGTTGTCCTTTGATTTTGTAGTTGTTGTCGATCGTGCATTGCCTAAAGATGGCTCGCTCCTATTGGCTTGAAACGTCGGTCTCAATTGCTTAAAAACATTTCCTCTGTAAAACTGTTCGTGATAGTAAATTTAATTATTAAGTATTTTTCAATATTTGAACAATTTAAATAGTATGAAGGTTTCAGCTTCTTTATTGTTTGTTAAATGGAAAAGTTTGAATTGCTTTTGTTGGATAAACTGCAATTTTTCTAAATTAATTTCCTATTTCAAAGCCTATCGTAAAGCTCCTGGATACTGATATTCTATTAGAAATATAAAAAAAGTCATAAGTAAAATATCATGATTTTTAAAGAAAAGTGGTATTCCGTTCTAAACAAGTCTGAGTAATTTGATCTCTTAATGTAAACAAGTAAAACAAGGATTTGAATAATAGGAAATAAGCTCTTCAGAAATTAATGGTAGAAAGATAATAACTACAGTGATCTTTCTCCATGTTCAGTAATTTAGTTTTTAGAATCAGTTGTATTTAGGGGTGTAGCAAGACTCGTATGGGCCCGGGCTCAGCAAAGGGCAAGGGTATCTCCCTCTCCATATTTTACCCAAAATTTATCCTACAATATTTTTTCACATAGCCTATATCTAATGAGATAAACGTAATTAAATTATAAACCAATAACATTCTTACTTACACAGTTTCATCAGAAATAGGGTTCCTTTGCTTTTTTTCAGTACAAAACAGTTCACCATGACCGCTGTATTGAAACACGTGTTTCGTTCATTTTTTATTTATTTATTGACAGAATAGCAAGTCCACTTAAACCTGTTTCTTTCATTGATCTCCTAAGATAACATTTAATTACTTTTAATTTGGAGAAGGAGTACTGTGTTGCTGCTGTGACAGGAAGTGTAAGAAATAGCAAGCATGCTGTACACGCACCTGGAAATGATGTAGAAAGTACATGGTTGTCTACCATAAATAGTGTAGCAAGTTCACAGAGCGGAAAGCTCATATTTCATACATGCTTTTGGAGATAATACCTGTTCTGGTAGTGTTACAGACAGTTGTATTGCAAGTCTCTGCTAAGGAGTTTCTTGCACTGTAAAGTTCATCACCTGTTAAAGTACTTGATGATTCTAGTAGTATGGGATGGAAAGTATTGACTATTTCTCTAAGTTCTTTAAAGCGATTTTTTTAGCTATGTTGATATTATATTGATATTATATTCTCCTCCGAATTTGGGATTTATCAACTTGAAAGCTATTCTCAGCATCACTGAATCGCTGGATGACACTTAACTCATCAAAACTTTTTATAGGAGACGTTCACTTGGCTTGAAATTTAATTTCAGCACTTTAGGTTGTGGTCATTTCTTTTAATTCATCGTATTTACTTCTAAAATATCTTATTTTACTATAAGAGTTCAATAGCAATCCAGATGCTTTACTCATTTCCAGTATGTTTGACTAGAGCAGGTGAGATACTACACCAGTACACTTTTGAATTGTTTCTGTTACAATGAGAAACAACGTTAAACGACTGCAGATATTTCACTTGTAACTAAAAGTTTGATAGTTTCTAGTACACCCGTAAACCTTTAACGCAAAGCTACTAAACAATCACGGCTTGAACACCATCGGGTGGGAAATAGTTTATTTAATATTGTAGAAAGTTTAGATTCTGCTAGTGATGGGAGTAAAGCGCACCTTCTAATATTGTATCTAAAGAACATAGTGTCTGAAGCAAATCATGCAAGTTTTTAATTCCAATACATACTGTACATAGTCATCCAGCACCAAGTTTAAATTGTGCTCTGCACAGAGAATGTATTTAACACGTGGTACTCGCTTCAGTACCTCGTGTTAAGTACATGCTCTGTGCAGAACACAATCTAACCTTAGTAAGAAGACAACATCAAAGAGTGGACAGGCTTGGAGTTCGTCAACTCCCAGAGGGCAGTGGAAAACCGGGAAAGATGGAGAGAGCTGGTTGCAAAGTTGTCAATAGTGCCCCAACGACCCCGAGGGTTAAGGGACAAAGTAAGTGAAGTGACTCGCTCCAGTATTCTCGCCTGGAAATCTGAACACACATACACGCTATTTGCAGCACTGCCATATCATTGCCTACAAGCTTTTCCAGATCAATACCTTTTTTTTGTTGTTCAGGGAGTGAAAAATGTGCTTTTCAAGTTCAGCAGCATATTAATAGCGTACTTCTTCAAATTCTAGAAATGATTCATGTATTTTAACTTCAATTAGTTAACTACCATCTGTAGGCCTGCTTATTGTTACATATCTTATAATTTGGCTTAAGTGAACCTTTTTTAATGTCTTGGTGGGATTATTGAGTAAAGAGTGCGCTGTTTTATATCATTTGTTGTGTCTTCCTGAACGTGATATAGTAACAATTCAATAATTGCATTTTGTATTACAGGGTTTAAATAAGTAACAGAACCCTTTAAGTTTTCTTAACAATTCCTCCAACACAAGATCATAGTTACTTTGGAGTTTAATAATTGAGGGAGCATTTCTATAGCCAGCTTTTCTTCTAATGTTTCATGAGTTTTACACTGTACATAGTTCTATATGAAGTGCTTACAGTTCATATCTTTATATATTTCTATTCACGCGCTGCCAATTTGAAAATAAAACACAATCTTTAGGATAATCTTCTTGTTTTCGAAAAGCCATCAAGGCTCACAGTAACATTTATTTATTGTCTGTGAGAAGCGTAGACAAGCACGTCGTAACGTTAAACCAGCTTTAGACATTTTTCTTACAGAAACAAGCATTGAAACTTCTTCATTGTTGCATCATATGGGAATGTACGTGATAGTTGGTATGAATCCTGACTTAAAACGCTTTTAGTCTGCATATGAAACCTCGAATTTTTTTTTATCAGATGAGTATTTGCTATTAACTAAATTCGTAGAACAGTTAGTAGAATAATGACATTAACCATTGTGTGCTTTTCTTGGTCTCTTAGTTTTCCTCTTTAAAACCACATTTAGGCCTACTCTCAGTACTTCCTAAACCTTGGCCTACGTAATTATTATACTAATTATCACTACCGGAAGAATTAACTTAAGCCAGTTTTCAGTAAACTGTGGCCTTGCAATCCACTTCACAAGTTTTATTTTCCTTTTTTTACCGTACCACTTGGACATACTTGATTTGACATTGTCCATTAAAAAAACAAATAACCAAGCTAAACACAAAACAAAGCACTGAGCATAATATATGAACACAACATAACCTTAGTTTTCTTTGCTCCTTCCGGTTTGTAATGAATAACACGTTTTTGTTACGCATTATGCATGGTCCTGTTTCAGACAAAATATTTCCATTCAAAATTATTCTTAGAATTTTTAAAAGTCTAATTTTAAACAATTTTTTTTTACGTTACTCTTATTTTTTATTTTTCATATTTTAATTCTTTAAATTTCTAAGGTTTTTGTTTTGTAATGCTAATAATACTAGCTGACTTTAGGCATATCATCAAGAGTCCCTTAACCCTTGAGGCCCGGGCGGGGTTGCACTCGTATTGCTACGCCTTTGGTTGTATTTCTTCGAAAGTCTTAAGTTTTGCATGTTTAGAATTGTTATGTTCTTAAATTCTAGCTCCACCTCAGTGCAATGCTAACCAGTTTTCTTGTGGACAATATGTGTTCAACCAGTCATACTGTATTCCAAGACACTGGCGCTGTGATAGGGTTGTGGACTGTGTAGATGGAACAGATGAAGGGGGAACATGCAGTGAGTAAACTTTAATACTTTGAATCCAGTTTCTTTCTTTTTTTTTATTCAATCATTTAAATGTTTATTTGATGTCTTTACTATCAATTTCTACTGGAGGAGAAAAACATTATCTCTTTTTTTTTGCATATTGAGAAATTTATTAGATCCATACAAAGGTGTGGCTATTGATGATACATTTATCATCTAGGTATGCAAATCTGAAAATGTAATCTGGGATAACTATGAGTGTTTGGGTACTGATGCTAAGTTCTAGATGTGTCAGTTTGGTTGGTTCAGATAATAGAAACAATTGTATCTGTTAGGATCTTAGAATTACCAATGGGATCCATATAGATCTCTGGCTTTTTAAGTGCATCTTTCTAAACTGTTTAATCATAACTTGCCTGTAGGTCAATATCTTTATTAGATACAGGATCTCTAATCACATAAGATTAAACAAATGATATCAGTAGTGGAATTAATTATGTATTTTACATAGAAAATGAAAAGTTTAACCAAAAATGCAAACATTGTCATGGTGAGTAGCCATGATGAAATGTCTGGACCCAACCGGTAGTGAACAGCATAAAAGCAAATTGGTGATTTTGGGGATAATGTTGACTCTAGATATAAAAGTTGCATCAATTTTTCCACCTGGTTATTACTGCTGAGCTCTAGATTAGGAAATTGGATAGAAATTAGGTTTGGGTAGTAGCAATGCAGATGAATATACCTTTAGAGCAAGAATATATCTAAGGCCAACAATTCTAAAGATATAGTTGGAGGTGACTTTTATTGTAGTGGCTGTGTATGTGAATTCTGTTGTTAACTTGTGTCATTTTAAACATCTTGCTGAAATTAAATCAGCTTGATCATTCTGACACATCAGTGTCTTTAAAAAAAGTATGAATTAAATTTAATATAAATTATAGTTTAAAAGACAAATATAAAATTTTGTATTAAGTGTACAGTACTTAATTCCAAACTGGCCGTGTGGCTATTAATTCAATGCATAGTAATCCTGGTCAATTTTAAAAGCAAAATTGTTATGTAGACTGGATTTTAGGTCCAAGATAGTCTTTTCAAAAGTCATATTTTGATGTATGTTTATGGGACATATCCTTAAGGCAAAAACTACTGGAAGGGTATGGCATCTAGGTGTTATGAAAATGCTTATAGGTTGTGTGGACTCACCTTACTTGAATTTCTTATCTTTTATATTCTCAGTTTAATTGTAATTGAGAAGTAGGTTAGTTATTTAAACAAACTCTTGTCAGTTATCTGTACTAGCAAAACATTTGTGGTCAAATTAGTATCTTTATTGCAAAAATACCTCTTTAAATACAAGATTTCAAAAATAATACAAACAAATTGTAATTGTAGATACCAAAAATGTGTAAGTCCACTTGTATATAAGCTGTACTTTACAAAATCTTAACTAATGTTAGGTCTAACCTCAATAAAGAGATTAAGTAACACTATAACCCATGTACATTTTTTACTTTAGTTAGAACTAACCTTTACTTTATATGATAAATAAATTTAAAATGTTGTTCTATGACTTAATGTCAGACCTTTCTGAAAACTTTAAGCTTTTAATGTTGTTGTACAAAATGGTTAGTAAAGTATATTTACATCTGTCTTTTGTTGCTATTCCATCGTTCATAGAGCAGTTGTAGTGACTTGTTCACTGAGCTTTGCAGCTGTCTTGTGCAGGCAGGCTGGTTGTTGTGAAGTGCGTAATGCTCCTGTGAAGTTTTTCTTGGGTAAAATTCTTATGGAACATGCTTAGAATGTGTACTGACGAGCAGAATTATAGTATGATTCTGTTACCTTAAACTTCTTTTAAGAGAAACTTGTGTATATTTTAAATGTTTGTAATGTCATTTATTGACAAAATTATAAAATTAAAAATATTTCAAAACTGTTGTTATGAAAACTTTCATTAATTTGTTTCCATTTTTGTGAAATGTTTTCACTTTTGTTAATTTGAGATGGATTATTAATAATCTGATTTTAAGAAACAACATAATTTGTGAAACTTCAGCTTTGTAATAATTGTTCATCTAATTTCGTGCAAGAAATATTATTGTATTTTAAATGCTGAAGACCTCTTAAGTTAAACATTTTTCTGCTGCTATTAATATTGTTCATTTAAGAACATTACATTTATACCAAAGTACTCAAATATTATGAACTTTAAGTACAGTAATGTATTTGTTGTGGTAATATTTAATGAATAATTAATGGATAAGATTTTGAACTAGGTAGAATTAAAATTCTGGGATAATGATGTAAGTAGCACTTCTGTTAAAGTAAAAGTTGTTTTAGTTGGCTAGACCACATCAACATCGGGTTATTACTAAGTAGATGCAAGTCAGAATAGTATTGGCTGAATATAAAATCATAATAAGGTTGCACAAACATTCTAGATCAGGCCAACCAACAAAGCCAGTTCTTTATAAACACCTACTGTATAGGTACTTCTTCACGAGTTTGTTTGCTATAGTTATCTTGTTTACCAGAGAAAAGGAGCAAACTTATCTAGAACATGACCCAATGTAGAAGAATTACAGCAAAAACTGATGATGAATTAAGATAAGTTTTAGAAATTCTATAAAGCATTGTTTTAGAAGATAGATCCTCATATATATAGCTACTTTTCAGCTAGTTTTTAAGTGGAGATTCACTTTAGACAACTATTTAATGATATATGTTTAAATAGATATAGTGGTTGATCTTTTTTCATCATTTTGTTTTGTTTATATTTACCTGCATGTGTTAAGAAAGTTCCTATTGATGTTATAGAGTTGCATATATTTCACGTCTTTTGTTGTTTTTTTCACCAGTATTAAAGTAAATCAGTCATTCCTTTTTGTTGTATCATATAGGTAATGGTTTAAAATATTTCATTTATTGAGTTGCTGCCTTTCTTTTATGGAAACAATTCTACAGTATTGTGTACTGAATTAATGAGAAATAGTTGATGGAATGATGTCAGGTTAAAAACCATTATCAAGGATATGTAAATTAAACTCTCATAAAAGTCATAATTTTTGTTCCATTCTTATAGGCAATCAGTTTGATTTCTGAGTTGTTTTATTAACATAATAATTTTGTAGTACTGTTTTTAAGTTGCACGGAAAGTATCTTGAATTTTCATTGACAATTTGAGATGTTAAGTACAGAAATGTTTTTAATCTGATATTATTCTTATAGGCAGTCAGGTTGATTTCTGATTTTTTATTAATGTAACTGTATATTCTATTTTCAAGTTGCATGGAATATATCATGGGTTTTCATTAACATTTGAGACCTTAGCTACAAAAACGATGGTAACGTGATATTTTTCCGTTCAGTTCTCTAGTGTATGAATTCTGTCATTTTTAACATATATCAATAAAATAGCATTTTTGTTTCCAAGCATAATAAATTTCCATGTACAAAAAGTTGGTACAAGCCCTTTAGACAATGGTTAAGATGAATTCACACAATTTTATCTTCATACATTGAGAACTCTGAATGATTGTTCAAAAAGGTTCATTGTGGGCATTCGGAGAATGTGTGACTGTTAGTTAAGTGTTTGTGAAATAATGAACTGTCCAAAAGATAAAAATATAGGAAGAAACAAAGATAATTAGAAATTCCTTTAATGAATTCAGGGGTAGTTTACATTATAAGATTGTGCACAAGTTAATTTTGTAATGCATAGATAAGCATCTATTTAAAAATGAATATGTTAAAAAAAAAAGGTAAGTTCCTTTTTTTTCACACAACTCATTACCTGATTTAATTAAAAATTTTTCAAGAACTTGAGAATTTATACAAATATAATGGTAAGTAATTTAATTCTAAGGTATTATTTATTTCTCCTCAAGCCTAGGTTTGATAAAATTGAACCAAAGTTTTCTTTTGCTTCTAGAAATACCTGATAAGTTACATATGGATTTTGTTTTGTATTTGTTTTATAAATGTACTATATTTTGGGTCACGAACTCAAATAAAACAAACACTGCGGATGTATACAAATGGTATCCTATTATCATATTCCATATGTGTAAAACTCCATGTATGATATTCAAGAGTGATTTGCTCAGATCGTTTTTGTAGTGCCTGAATCCATGAAAACTAGTTTTTAGTAAGGGATGAACTTGCATGTATTTTATGGAGCATACTCTATAAGAATTCAAGAAATAAAATTTTGGGAATGCAGAAAAAGTAGAGACTAAGATTATCTAACTTGCAGATAACAGACATTAGGCTAAAATTAGAAATCTTCCAGCATACTAATGTAAGTTTATAGAAGATATGGCTGTTTTTTTTTTATTGGCCAAAAAAAAGTGACCCTTTTCTGTTGGAAAATACATGTCACTCCATAAATGGAAAGTAACTTGAGTCTTTAAGATTACAACTTAAAAACAGCAGATGCAGCTATACAGGGACTCAGATTTGAATATAGATATACCAGGCTACACTGTAGGAAAGGCAAATTTACTAATGATCAAAATATCTGTGTCATATATTAATTGCTGTATGTGTTGTACTCATTGCATTAAAAAATGTAAACAGCTGATGTAATATTCCAAAATGTAAACAGCTGATGTAATATTCCAAGATTGTGTAAATGGTTTGCAATATCAAATCCTGCTATTTCTAGATGAAGTAAGATATAATATGCTTTGCATTGAGTTAGCAGTTAGTCACCCAAGTAATAACTGCTTGGGTCACTGATGTAATTCATTAAGTATTTAATCAGCAATGTATTAAAGAACAAATAGGGGTGACAAGCACTATATGATTGGTGCAATGATCTAGAATTGCAGGTTTAGTGTTGAATAACTACTGGTTGATATTTCCTATTTTGAATGACCTTATTTATCATGTATAGGGTGTAAATCTAGAACTATGGTCATACTGGAAGGTTTGTGTGTTGTATTATACGATGACAGGCATGATATATTGCATCAACAGATCTCTGCATTTTATCTTGGATAAAAACGAAACAAAAAACAAGTGTTTTCAAGTGCCTTAAGTATGCTTCTTAATGAAATATTTATTGACACAGTCTTTTAAAGTGACTTTTCTGTTCTTCTGTATGTTGTTTTAAATATATTTTCTCTTACACAAGAAAAGAAAAACTAAATGCAGTTGATTAGTGTTTTACTAAGTCTTATACAACAAACAATACAGTTACTGTATGAAAGCTAATGTAACACAATGGTTATATATTGGTGAAGCATGCTGAAATAAGGATCTGATTTTGAAGGAAATTATATCCAAGATCATATTATTGGTAACAAAAACAAGATTTTGGATATGAGATTCAAATTTTGCTGCTGCTTTTTTTATTGTGTTTTGTATTTTGTCAATAAATTGAAAATAAACATGTATTTAAACCATTATTTTTTCTTGCCCCAAATAACAGATTATAGGCAGTGCCTTCTAGATGATCACAAGTGTAGCAGCGGGTTGTGTATTCCAAGCAATAAAAAATGTGATGGCTACCATGATTGTCGAGATGAAAGTGATGAGAAAGGGTGTCACCACAGTAAGTTTTATTTTCAGTTATTAGCTGTTTTCTCCCTGGTCTGCTTGAGAACCAAATCTTAAGTAGTAGCAAGAGCTGATAAACCATATTACTAAACATTAACAACAACAACAAATAATTTCCCATTATTGAAAGTTTTAGATTTCATTTTATGATAAGTATATTGTTTTTGTTTTTAAGTAATAAATCAAAAAGTACTTAAATGAATAACATACATGATCATCTAACTTGACCCTTTAAAAAAAGGTAGTTTGACATTTTCAAGTGATTTAAAACACTTAGTTTATTATCAACATTCTTACCATGGGCCAACATCAGACAGTACCAGTAGTAATTGAGTGATGTAGGCTTACAGTTTAAACATTGCTAATCAATTAAGTTGTTGTTGTTTTTTTGTTAGAGATGTGAAGGTTTCCATCCTGGAAGTTTTTCATTAATAATTTTTTTATTATTATAATTTGTATTTGTAACAACATTCATTTTGTACTAACAAACTTAAACTTCAATTAGTTTTGTAAGAGTGACAGTCAATCTCTTTGGATGGATGGTGGGTGGAAGGTGCTGCTGACTTGCTGCCTTCCCTCTGGTCAGTAGTTCAAAATTAAGGATGGCAGCAGATAGCTTTAAGCACAAAATATAAACACAATTCTTTGTCCAAATCTTCTAAATTAGCACTTGAATCCAAGGTGGTGGACCTTTAGCCCTGTTAATAGCAAAATCTAGATTATATTTTTCTACATCATAACTGAAACTTTGTTTTACTGATACAAAGTAGAATTAAATGGGTGGTAAGGTGCCTTTCAGACTAGAACTTTTGCAGTTGTTTCTGGCCAAAAAGGAGTCAAGACTAGTTGTAGTTTAATGTTTAAGCTAAATATATTCATTGTGTCCTGTTTTATAACCCACTGAAATTAAAAAAATAAATAAAAAAGTGTTATGATATGGTAGGTAATCTTAGCTTATTCCATTCGGTCATTATCAGTTGTTTTTTTTTGTTTGTTTTAATGAAATCAGGTTGGTTATCTAGCCAAGGTCCTTCTGTAAGTTTATTTTTTTTTTTTTATATTTGAAGAAAATAGGATAAAAAAACAAAAACAAACTCATTTTAGAAGTAAGTTTAATTCAAGTTTGAATTTTATTTTATAATGAAAATTTGAAGCTGTATATTGAAATTTTCTGTTTTGCCAGCCTGATATTTTTTTTCTTAACATAGTATCCGACATCAATTTCATGTAGAAATTAATATAATATTCTTTAAAATCTTGCCTTACAAATCTTTTGACATTCGTTAAAAAGGTTTACTGCTTATGTAGATGAGGGTAAGGGTGTAGATTTGATGTATCTAGATTTTCAGAAAGTGTTTGACAAGGTACCACATAAAAGGCTTGTAAAAAATATCTCAATAGATGTGGGAGATAAGCTAGCTAATTGTATAGAAGAGTGGCTGGATGGAAGAAAGCAGAAGGTTGTTACAAATGGTGTTCAGTCAAACTGGATTAATGTCACAAGTGGGGTACCTCAGGGCTCAGTCTTAGGACCTTTGCTCTTTTTGATTTATGTCAATGACTTAGATGAAGGAATGGTCAATAAACTACTTAAATTTGCAGATGATATTAAGATTTTGGGTGTTTCTGGCTGTGAGGAGGAAGATGCTGCTTTATAAAAGGATTTCGATCATTTAGTGAGTTGGGCAAATAAATGGCAGATGGGTTTTAATTATAATAAATGCAAGATAATGCATGTGGGTTATCATAATTTGAAGTATAAGTATAATTTGGATGGGAATAACCTTAGTGTTATGAAGGAAAGGGATCTTGGTGTAATAATCGATCAGTCTCTAAAGCCATCCTAGCAGTGTGCTGTTGCTAGTGGTAGGGCAAATAGGATTTTAGGGTGTATCTATAG